AATGCCTAGTTGTAAAATTTTACATATTCTAGAGGAATTGTACAAAGCCTAATAAAGCTAAGGCATGATTGCCAAATGTTAAAAAAAAAAAAAATATATATATATATATATATATATATACCATATTTTCATGGAATAACGCTTACCTGCGTATTATTTTGAGTTATTTTGAGTATGCACATGCATGTTAATTTGAAATAAAGGTTAATTTTTTACTAATACTAATTTTCAAAATAACACACATGTGCGTTATTTCGAAACAAGTATGTATTGGTAAATTTTCTAAATATAACCATATGTGTAATATAAATAAAGCATATAATTTAAATTCGATAAGGTTTGGTTGTCTTTTAATACTATTTTACAAGTTTGAATGTCAATAACTAGAGGTTCATTTTGAGGTATTTTAAAACTAGTTAAGAGCACTTAAATATCTTTTTATTTTGCTCAATTTTATTATAAAAAGCGTGGTTGTTTATAACTATTTATTTTAGAATTAGTTCTAAATTTTTTAACATTAAGAATGCGAAACTCAAACTTATATAAAATAATAGAATAGTAGTAGAACTTTCTTAAATAAAGATGAAAAGATTTGATCAGAAGTCCAGCTTTAATTAGCACATGGTTTAATGATTTTAAGCTATATATTTGACTTTACTTACCAAAATTTCTCCTTTCTAGTTTTACTTTGTATTGCTATCTGAGTTTTAATTAATTGGGTTCTTAGATTCTTATAATGTTGATCAAAAAGTTTAGGAATTGCACTTGCTATTTACTCTCTTTCTCGAAAGACCAAAGATCAATTTGATGGATTCATATTTTTTAAAAAAATTATTAAAGTACCATGTATATGTAACTTTTTAGAGTATTGCGCTATTCGATTTATTTGATGTGGTTATGCCTCGATCCTTTCTACAATTGTTTCTTATAAAGGTTAAGTGTTTTTATATAATAACACCTACCTGCTATTTTAGGAGCCAAAGAATACTAATCTATTGAGCTTCATTTGGATTTTTTTTTCAACGAATAGCCAAATTGCCAACCCTGTGTTCATGGCATAAACAAATATTTCCTAAATTATTGACTTAAAAAAAAACATACATACGTGCATACCTAATATGTAGAGAATTTCAAATGCCACAAACTCTGGTACTACAGTACTATAGACTTTCTTGAAACTATTTAACTTGCTATTTTTCAAATTCTTAGTGATTTTTTTTAGAAGAATGTTCAATGTTTCATACGTATAAGATTATTCTTTATTCTTACCTATAATAATTTATTTACACATTGCTTTCAAAATGTTATTACCATTAATTTACCTTCGCCAAGAAAGTGCAGAGAAACTTACTGTATAATGAACAGATACAAAGAACCATTTAAAGACTTAACTGATTCACATTGGCCTTGAAAAATTGTGAAGTAACTTATAGCGTAGTATGTATACTTTTTTTTTTCTGTATCACAAATATGCATGATATAAAATGCTGAAATATAACGTTATCCTTATTGGTGTACAAGTTGTTTACTTTATTTGCAAGCGAACATGAATACAAGACAAAGTTTTACTATCGCATTCAAGCTTGAAGTAATCTCATATGCAGAAGAAACCTCAAATTGTAAAGCTTCTCTGTTTTATAAGATTCATCGAAGGTGTGTTCAAGAATGATGCAAGCAAAAAAAGAAGTTTGAAAAATTAGAAATAATAAAGATTTAAATATAGAGCAAGTGCGAGTTCTTGAAGGTCATAGCATGAAAGCAGCATACTCTATATTGGAAAAAGAACTATTGGAATTTATTAAAAAAAGAAGAGAAGAAAAAGGCACAGTAACTACATCAATAATTATAAAAGAAGCCAAACATTTTAGTGAAACTATGAATATTAGTGGTATGAAGTTTTTGTGTAGTTGGGTCGAACGTTTTAAGCAACAGCATAAATTGGTAAACCGTGCTCGAACACAAATAGCACAGAAGGTCCCTGAGGATAAGCCATTAATCATTCAAAATTTTTTAAAAATTTTGCGTGAAAAAACACATACCATTGAAAAAAAATATATTATATCTTTTAATAAAACTTCTATGTGGTTTGACATGCCACAGGAGGACCCCGAACAATATATATAAAGGTTACATTAGCTTTAATATAAAAATTTTATAAATTTTATCTATTTTATTTTAAGTTATATTAACCAACTTTTACATATAAGCTTTAATAATTAGATAATTTTAACCAAAATTTAAATATAACATATTAAAATTTTTTAAATTTTAAAATAATTGTAAAATTATTAAAAAACAAAATATAGTAATATTTCTAAAGCAAATATACAATTATTTCTTTATTCTATTAATAAAATTGCTAAAAAAATTCATAAAATTTCTCACAATCTTTGCTTTATATTAGGAGTATTAAAATAATTAAACAATTCAAATATCGAATTATTAACAGTTAATAACTCTAATTTTTTATCAAATGATACAAAATTACCTTTTCCAAAGTAATAGATAAAAGAAGAAAGCGAAATATGAGTAAAAATTGTATAACCATTATCAGAAATTAAAGAAAATAAGTTGTAACGAAGTTGAGAAAAAACTTTTACTAAAATATATAAAAGTTCATCAATATTTGTATATGACTCAATAAAAGAGTGATAGTTTAAATTTTTATAATAAAGTGCAAGAATTTGAAATAAAAAAATAGTATCATTAATTTGTCCAATTCCAAATCCTCCTTGAGTAACTGGATGTACTAAACTCACATTTGCTATTGAAATTTCTGCCAACCCTATAATATAAAATATAAATATAAAAATTAGAAAACCTAATATTTGAACTTTTAAATATTTTGATAAATCAAATACCCAATTATAATATATAATCAAATCAAACATCTAGTATTTAAATATATATTTGAGTAGCCAAAAATAAAAACAAGAGAATTTATCGTATAAATACCATTAAAGCATTTTTTACCTTTAATATACAAATACCATTTTCATAGCAATCAAGTCCATATTGTTGTTAGAATAGCCACTTTCAAAAGATTTTAAATATATACTTTTATTAGTTGCTTATAGTGCGTATATAACAAAATCCAGTATTGTGATTTTCACTTTTAGCAAACTTTGATAATAGTGCTTATGTCTCTCTAAAAGATTATATCGCCATTGCATTTCTTATATGCTAATCGGTTTATTCTATCCATTAGAATTATATCTACCAAGAATTTCGTCAGTGCCTTTAACCTTTACAACTAAGACAACGTTTGTTTGTTTATCGTATAAATTCCAAAATGAAGTGAAAGTAAAACTATCTCGTGTATTATGAAGAAGTAATTTAAAATCATATGGATTATTTGTTGCAGTATATGTATTATCTTTTTTATTAATTCATGAAGAAGTTTCAGTCATGTGTGCTTTATTAATAATCATTGAAAATAGTTCAGTCATTCTGGGTAGTAATTTTTGTGTTAAAATTACATATAACAGAGAATTACTGACGATATCGGTTTGTTTAGAAATAAAAGTTTCTTAATTATATGCACAACAGAATTATCATCTTTAGCTTATGCCTTCCTCCACGAGTGAATTCAAAATTGTATTGTCCACTAGAGTCGCTTTCAGATTTCAAATACTGATCAAATGTCTTTTTTTTATCCTAAAATATATAAATTTTTTTATTGATGAATCGTGTAATTGTATTGTCCACCAAATTCTGTACTTAGAAAACTTTAGATACGTACTACTCAATTGCTTTCTCCTCAATAATACCTATATCTTTTCTATTGGCTAATCCAAGTTCATGTTGTTTATAAGAATTAATGCTTTCATAGATCTTAAATATTGCTCAAATGCCATCTTTTCGTCTTTAGTAATGTTTCATAGACAAGCCATAATTATATTGTCCATTGGAATTATTACTATTAAAAGACTAACTCCACACAAATACTTTCTTCTTTAATAGCGTCTGTATCTTTATAGGTGAATTAAATATTACACTATCCACACGAATTGTAAGCATGACTTTTTCATTCTCAGTAGTCCAAATATTGTAGTAATAAGTAGCAGAGTCTATGATTACAATGTCACCAGAATTGCACTTTCAGTGAATTTAAAAAAACCTAAATATGTTAGCAGTGTCTAGGTTAAGGATACTAATTCCCTAGTTTCTACTTTTAACCATCATTGTTTGATTCAATAACACTCGTTAACAAAAAACCATAGTTCAGAATTCCAATAACTTCAATTATTACACTTTAACATGAAGGTTAATGAGTAAAAATTAACTTACTAACTGAGTTTTTTGTTCCATCTGTCAGTTGTTCAAGTCTTGATCTCATTCGCCATCGATTTTGACATAGAACACCGGGACGAGCAGATTCGTTTGAAGAAAGATATGATATTAGACTATTAAATTTATTACTAGAAACGGACGTAGATAATCCTGCAACTTTTCTCTCTATTCTTTGATTAGTATATACTTCATGACTACAACATTGATTAATCAATACAGAAAATTCAAGCTTTCTATCTACAACTCCAATGTCAACATCCATTTCAATATTAGAATACTGAGATTGCTGAGTAGAACTAAGTATCATGTCTAATTGTGAACACACATCAGAGAAATCATCACCTTCCTTGATCTAGAATGATAAAACATGATCAGAACAAAAAAATCTTCATATTCGAGTAAAATAACATTTTATTATCCAGCATTCGACTATGATCGGGCTTGCCAAATAGCTCAGGTTATTTGGCAGCTCACATAAGAGAAAAAAGCTTATTTTAGTTATTTGGCAATTCACATATGAGAAAAAAAGCTTATTTTAGTTATTCGGCAGTTCACATATGAGAAAAAAGGTTTATTTTAGTCATTCGGCAGTGTTACCATTATTTACACAAAAAAATTAAGTTCTCGGCATGTTATAAAGCTATTGTATTAAGATTTTTTAAAAAATTAATATTAGGCCAGAAAAGGCATCTTATAAGACAGAGTTTTTGGAAATTCTCAATCGGTAAAAATATTTTGTAGAGTGAATTTTTTTAAAAAGTTCTTGAATGTATTTTGTATAATAGATTTTTTTCAAATTCATAGTAGACTAAGCAAAAATATTTCATAGAGGATTTTTTAAAATTCTCAATAAGTTGTACGAAAATATTTTGCTAATAGGATAAAGTATTTGCAAGACAAGTTTTTTTTTGAAATTCTTACTGTGCCAAGGCCTTTTTAAAATTCTTATTTCCATAAAATATTTAGAAGAAATAACTTAATTTAAAATGTTAATTGTAAGTCAATTTATTTTCTAACATATATTGCAGGCACAGCTATAAGTGCACATTATTTAATTGATAGTAACGCTTTCGGCATTAATATAATAATTTATCACCGTATTACCATTATTATTAATTGAACCTTGTTCTTTAAAATTATGCCTATTTGAAGCTTTATAAATAACTTACTGATTACTGTTCATAGATACATTTTGCATAACATTTTGTAAAAGTTGCTGGAATGGTTTCATAACTGAAGAATTAAGATTAATTGACAAGAATGGATTTGAAAAGTTACGTTGTGGCAGATTCTTTTTTACTTTCTAATAAAAAACTAACTTAAATAAATAAGTAAATAAATAAATAGATATATATATATACCTTTAATTCATTTGAATAAATTTCTTGATCATCTAAAACTTCTGAATTATTTGAAGAATTCAAATTGCTTGAAGCATCGGAATTTTTTGAAGATAAAGTTCTCACATTATTTATCAATAATAATAGAGCTTCTTCTTTTTGTTGTTGAGATGGTCGTGTATAAATTCTATATGATGACTCACTCTTGTGTCTAGTTATTGACATAGTCATAACTGTTAGAACGCTTTTTTGAAATAGGAAAGTGATTGGCGTAAATCTTCCAGAGTGGTTGACGATATCTCGACCTTCCAAATTAATGTCAGCTGCAGTACAAATATTTTTCATAAGAGATTGACATGTCTTTTCACCTAACCTAGAATCAAGATACCATTCATCTTTTGAAAGATCTTAATTGTAATAAAGTA